GACCGGTTTCGAGGTGGCCTTGCTCGCGCCCCGGGGACCTGAGGCCAGGTGGGGGCTGGGCGCGGGCGATGCCGCGGGGAGAGCCGCGCCCGTCGTGGGAGGGCGTGGGAGGGCGTGGAAGGGCGTTCCGGCTGCACTGTCACGCTTCCGGCTCTGCTGTGGCTTTTGCACGACAAATTCTAGACCTGATGCAATTTTCTTTCTCCCTTTTGATTTTTTTCATCTTGATGAAGAGCTAGATGCTAATATGGTGGGGAAAGAGGGTAAGGAAATTACAGGAATAAGGCATTCATTCATTTATTCATTCATTCAACAGATGGTCCTCGCTCTCTCCGCAGGATTTGAGGTCTTGGGGCTGGCCCCCATTGAGTTCGTATTTTGGAGGAGACAGACAAGCAAATAATCCATTTCCAGGCAACTGGAGTAGGGGTCCCCCCCTTTCTGTAAAACAGTATTGAATATGGTAGGAGTTACACATAGTATTACACATAGACATGTAAGGGAGGTGGCATTTACCCAAATAACTGTAACAGAAGGCAGAATGCCATCAGTGCTTTGGGAAGGTGTGGGTGCTCAGAGGAGAGAAAGATTCCTTCTAGCTAGGGGAATCTGGTAGTGTCATGGATGAGGTGACCCTTAAACTAAACAATCAAGGATTGATAATATTTGCATATGGGAAGATGACAAAAAGGCATCCCAGTTCATAGCAGAGGTCACAGTCAGCTCTCCACAAATATGTATACAATGGATGAATTCCAAATGGAGGGGCTGGAACAGGAGGTATGCCAAGGCACAGAAACATGGGACCTGTAGTTCGCATTGACTGGTATGTAGGAGATGGGTGGGAAATGGGAGTGGAGAAGTCGATTGGATTTAACTAGAAGGCAGAGTTGCCTTTAGATTTAGCTATTCCTGGGCAGTGGGAAGCCCCTGGAAGTCATTACAGGTTTTTGTACAGAGAGCGATATAAAAAGTTGATATAAGGAAACGCTTTAACTTCCATAATAAAACCAAACATTAATCCTGACGTGGAAGGGAACTTCCATGTAAGGAGATATGAGGGGTACGTTGCGGCTCAGACTCCTGTCCCCCCAAATTCTCTTCATGTTGGAACTTTTACCACCACTGGTGAGCGTTTCTCTTCATGGCTAACCCTTCTGGAGTGGCCATTTCTACACATCACAGGCTGTGGAAGGCTCTCTGGCTTCCTTCCCTAACCTGGTCTCGCATGGCAGTGTGCATAAAAGCTTGTATGTGTTTGGAGCCTATTTCAGAATCTTTGTGTTAAGATTCTCTAGCCTAGGAAACTATCCAGTGTGGTCCCATTGAATTGCTGGGCTAAGACGGTTAAGCATGGTAACTCCCTCAGGTTATCCATCTGAAACTAATTGAAAGCTGAGGTGAATTTGGGCAAGCGGAAGTCAGGGTTGCCTGGTAGAACCTTCTCTCCCTATGTAGGCATTCTCCCTTTATTTACAGCCTCGGAGAATTGGGCTTTACTAAGGGCGGGTTTCCTTACAGTGGATGGTGTGGGAATGACTGGAGGCTTAGCGCCATTGAGGAAATTAGTATAATAGCTGGCTTAGAAGTTTCAAGGGCTGACTCCACAGTGTGACAGCAGAAGAGGCCTGAATAGAGATGATAAGGGGAACTGGGAGAACTTAATAACAGACATTAAGGTGCAAGGGAACAGAAGAGGAAAGATGACCCTAAGGTCTGGGTGACTTGGATATTTGGTTCTATAGGAGGACCAAGCAGATTTGGGAAGAAAGACGACGTTGTTTTGAATATCCTGCATTTGAGGTGATGTCAGGGCTTTCGGAGGGATGAAATCAGTAGGGAGTTAAGACTGTGGACAATAGGTGTGTGCAAATGATGTAGACTTGATGGTCACTTAAAGCCTGTGGTTAATAACAGTAAGAGGACCAAGGACAGATTCTTGGGGAAGACCAAGTTGAGATGGTAGTTGCAGGTAGAGGAGAAAGAGCAGCAGCCACGAAGGTAGGAGGAAGACTGGATTTGAACGGCAAGGAATCCAGGGAGGAGAAGCCAAGGGGGTGGAGGTTGAGGAAGAGGCTTTGGATTGGTGACTCAGGTGAGTGGTGAGCCAGTACCAGCAGAGCAGTGAGGGTGGCAGTCAGATGCAGAGGGCTCTAGCGAGTGCAGAGACCGTGGCTGCACAGTATGATACTCTTTAAAGAAGTTAGAAGGAAGTAGAACTTGGCCAGTGGATCTGACCAAGTCAGTGCAACAATTTTTTTAGAGGTAGTGGTGGTAAAGCAGACTCAGCACATTTTTTAGACTCAGGGGCATTATTCAGTAGAGAGAGAAATTGAAAATGTGAAAAGATATTTAATGGAGCAAGTCAAAACGCAGAGTTGGTCAACAAGTGGGAAAGGTTAGTCTCTGGAAGGAGATGGAAGGAGAAGAATGGAGAAGAACCACTTCCCCCCATCCCTGCCCCCAGCTATCTACTCAGCGAGTGTTATTTGTAGTTCCAAACCAGCCCAGCCGTCCAAGCCCCATGCAACTCTCCAGTTCCCTTTGCAGCACCAGCATAGATACCGTGCCCTGCTTCTCCACCATACTTGTACGGGACACATGCACTTATTGACATACACGTTTATATGGTACCCTTACTTTATACGCTTACACCATACGGCAACTTAATCGTTTACTGGACAAAGAGCTCCGTGCGAGTAAGGACCGTGGCTTGTGTTAGGAATCTGGCATGGAAATACATGAAGACCACCCAAATGAGAACAGGCAAAGGTGATCTATTCAGAGCTTACTATAGCAAGAGAGTTAGCCATCATCACTTGCATTTGTCAGAGACTCAAAGGCAGGCAGTGCAGTATAAGAGCTTTATAGTAGAACAGAGGGGAAGGCTTCAGGTGTGCCCTGGTTGGAGGATGTTGGCATGAGGAAGCTGGAGGTTGCTTACTCACAGTGGGCATCCTGTGTGATTGGTTAGGGGAGTGGATTTGCCTTCCTCTGATTGGTCCTAGGTTGAAAGGCTGGGTGGGTGGGGGAGCAATAATTAGGGCAGCTGGCCGTTATAAAGTCCTGACCATTTGGGACTGATTGCTACAGAGGTTGTGGTTCGACTTCCTGGACTGATTGCTATAGCTTGTGGGTCAGACTTCTGTTTTTATGTATGGTCTGGCCATTGTCCGTTTGTATATTCAGCCTCTCACTGGTAACATGTGCCAAATTACATTTAATTGTTATCAAAGCTGTTTCAGGGAGAGGAGAGTGGGGGAGCCCAGGTGGGATGGCCTGAGTGTGAGGAAAGGATTAGACATAATTGGTAGAGCCGGAGGGTGTCGGTTTGTGGGTGGGTAGTGTGCCAAGCCTGAGGGGAATGGAGAGGTTAGGAATGGGGAGAAGGGGTAGAACCAGTCAATCCTGTTTCCTAGCCTTTCTCTGGCTTGCTCTGAGTCTAGGAGTGGCTAGGGGGACTTGCCGGCTCAGGCCTGGCTGGGGTTTGGAAGGCGGAGGAGGATGGGCAGAGGCTTTGAGAATCTTGCAGGAGCCATGGTGGAAAGGCTTGGGGAAGTTGTTCTGTATAAAGCACACCGGACTTCACTAATCACGCATCTCAGAGGCCCGGCTTTCACCCTGGCGTCCTGAGTCACAGCAGCATGTTCACTCTTCAGAGAGGGGAAGAGGAGGAAAAAAGACAAATGGAGGCAGTGCATTGTTTTGGAGGTTACTCAAAAGAAGGGAGCAGGATTAGAGCCAACGAAGAGCCCCACCGTGGGGGCCTGGCCCTGGGTACATCCTCAGCCTTCTGGTGAAATCCAAAAATGGGTTCGGACTGTCTCTGCTGCCTAAGGAAGCAAGTGGCCTAACAGCCTCAACTCTGCAGAGGAGACAGGGTGCACGAACTGCCAGCTTTTTAAAAAAGTGTGCACCTTGCTCAAGAATGTGAGTGGGTGACATGCAAGGTGACATGCAGGACATGAAGCTAGGGTGTGGCCTGAATGAAGGGCTACTTCACTCAAAACTCGAAAGCATTGAAATGGGGGAGCACTCAAGTGTGGATTGGTTCCTGGTTCGGAGGCCAGAGGTCGGGGCTCCACTGCAAGCTGGTCTTGGTCAGACAAGAAAGTGGACAGAAGAGGGCAAAAAGGCAAAAAGAAGCCGAGGGCCCTATAACCTCTTACAGGAGGGAAGGTTACGGGTTCTTGATGGGAAACCTCAGTCCTGGGTTGGGTGGGAAGGGAAATATAAGATGGTTCACATCTCCCTGCAAGGATTAAACTGCTTGACAGAGTAAAGCGTTCTCCATCGTGGAGGATTTAAAAGCAGAAGCTATGTTTTTGCTTGTTTCTGTCAGGACCGTTGGCGAGTATATGAGATTTCTTAGGTTCCTCCTCTTTCTGGAATTTGATGCAGTCTCTTAAGAGCAATGCAGTTTTACATAGCGTCGTAGAGAACGCTTTCTCTTCCCGCGTTTGGAGCCCCCTTTGCTTATTTCCTCAGGTCATTTGATCTGTTTGTGTATTTTCTCCACAAGTTTGAGAGACAGAACCTCATGAAGGTTGTTGGATTTGTTGGTCTAAGCGTGAATGGCTAGGGATTAGATTCAAATTCAGGCCCTTCATTTGTGCTTTTAAACTACCTTCTTCCCTTGGCAGTGGACAAAATCCTTTCATCGTACTGTCAAAGTCCACCGGCTGTTATTTCAGAAGTGCCCTTAAGTTTTGCTTGTGTATTGGAATTAGGAGCGAGAGGAGCTTGCTCGGACTGGCGGCTGCCATTCTATCTGGGGTGCGGGTTTACTTGGCGTGCAGTGCGGGGAGGCAGGGGTGAGCAGCACTGAGAACCTGAGGACACTGAGCTTCCAACCTCCGAGTCAGGTATCACCCAGGAGGCTGGCAGGATGTGGGGAAGGCGGGGAGGGATTACGTGAAATAAGAGATGATTCCTAGAATGTCAGCCCCATGAACAGGTAGGTCTGCCCACAGAAAAATGTTGCTTTGGGTTTTTGGGGTTTTTGCATCAATGTAGTTCTCCATCACTCGCTTCATGGGTATAATTGGGAGTCATCTATCTGTTGGTGCCTTCTTTTACGCATTAACAAAGAGTTGACGAATGGTTGGTATAATGTCTAACATGTCGTTTACCTGTATTAACTCATTTACTCTGATTCTCACATCAACCATGTGAAGTAAGTTTATTATTATCTTCATATTACAGATTTACAGGACACTGAGGCACAGGGATTATCAAAGATTACACAGCTAGCAAGTGGCAGGGCCAGGGCTGTAGCCCAAGCAATCTTTCTCAACCCTGCTCTTAACCGCGATGACAAATACCAGGCACTGCATTTTGCATGACTTATTTCCAACAATAATAATATCTGCGGAAACATAAATATTCATGTCAATTGTCTCTTTGTCTAGTGCTTTAGAGCTCATACAGCATTTCTATTTCTCACTAAATCCTTACAACACGATCTTTATCTCACAGACTAAAACTGGAGGATTGACAGTTTAATTTGCGTAAGATTACAGAACCAGGGAGCAGGAGAGAAGACTCCAGTGTAGGTCTCATCTTCTCCTTGCTGGATGTGGCTAAACCTAGCTTAGTCTCTGCAGAGTGGAAAAGGGAAGTGAATCTGGAGTGGCAGCTCTAGCTGGGGCTATAATAATAATAGTAATATAATAATAATAATAATGAAATAATAAAATAATAATAATAGTAGTAGTGGTAGTAGTGGTAGTAGTAGTAGTAGTAGTAGTAGTAGTAGTAGTAGTAGTAGTACTTGTCAGGCTTTTCGTCCTTCCAGATTTTAGAATCCCCACTCTCCCATTTTCTGCCAGTAATTCTAGGCATCCCTGGGTTGGGGATGGGGGTGGGGGTCCCTCACCTCTGCAGCTCTTCTTTCGGTTACAACATGGCAGATGACAGAACCAAAGTCATCCTTGACATGAATGTGAAGCTGCCCCTGACGTGACTCCCCCTCCGGTTCTATCCCAGAGAGTTCCTCTCCCTGGGTTATTCTCTCTGTCGCATTGGTCCCAATGCTGTGCGATATACGCATCATTCCAGACTTGGTGAAGGACTTCTTTAGTATTGCTTTTTCCTTCCCCAGGAATCTGACCCACATCCTTGAGGTCGAGTTAGACTTGCAGTGCAGCTCGGAGTGTGGTCCACCTGGGAGCTTGTAAGAGATGCAGATTCTCAGACCACACCTCACATGTACTGAATCAGAATCTCTGGGAATTGTGTTTTAACAAGCTCTTCAGGCAGGGTGATCAACTGTCTTAATTTGTACCAAACTGGAGGGTTTCCCAGGACACAGGACTTTTAGTATTAAAACTGGGACAGATTGGTTACTCTTTCCGCAGGTGATTCTTAACTGAGTTGGAGGCTCTTGGGCAATGGACATTTGTGTGGTCAGAAGCAGCACCCCCTCCTCCCCGCAATCTGTCTTTGGATTGGGGTTGTACTCCCTGCCCCTTCCTTTAGGACAAGTTGGGGTTCTCCCCCCACAAGGCTATTTGGTCCTTCAAGCATTTAGAACTCAGAAGGGAGCACTACAAGACCCTGCAGACTAGGCTAGTCATGGCTGCATGAGAAGATTCAGCTGAGAGCCTCTCTTTCTCTGAAAACCACTTTCTCTTCTGAGGGGTCTGGACTGGCGCTAGACTGGCATTCATCTGTCTTTTCTGCTGGTACGGGAAATAAACATTTACTGAGCTAAACATACCAGGTACTGTCCTTGAGGTTACACTTAGGCGAAATTATTCTTAAAAGGCCATGAAACAGGTATCCTAAGGATGGAGTGTCAGAACATAGAGGGAAAGGGCTTCAGGGGCCATTTAGCTCCTGCTTCTCACATGTGGTCCACCTGGGAGCTCATTAGAAATGCAACACTTAGGGCCCCACCCCACACCAACTGAATCAGAGCCTGAAGTTCAGCAAGGTCCTCAGGTAATTTGAATGCATTATAAAATGTGAGAAGCCCAAAGCCTTTGTTTTATAGATGAAAAACTGAGACCCAGAGAGATTAAGCGATTTGCTAAATATCGCACAATGAATCAACTCAGGTAGATTTAAGATCCAGTTCCGACTCTCAAGTCCAGTGCTTTCCCTCTGAATGTGGCTGCCTTCCTGCAAAGCTGTATTTTGTCTGTCTGGTTCTATTTATTGCATGAACTTGAAATTAATTCAATTCATTAAAAAAATACCTGTAAATTCTGTGTTTCACTAATTCAGATGAGACTTCCTCTAATTAATCTGAGTAAGTGGCACTACTTTGCTTAATTTTTTTTTAATGAGTTTATTAGATTCACTCAACTGTTACATGAAGTAATCATTTTCCACTTGATGTAAGTTTCTGGAACTGGATGTGTATAAATGCTGCCATCTTTATAAAGATAAGTAATCCATATAAGAAAGAAATTGAACATTTTACCATTATTTTTGTTGAGTCCGTTAATATGGTCCTTATATCTATTATTTCACTAGATACTCACACTGGGAAGAATGTCGTTATGTGGTTGATCACAGCTGGGTTTGTGGACTTGACCCAGGATCCATTATTTAAAAAGTACTCGATCCGGGGTTTTGGTTGAATGTGACGATGGATTGACAGTGTCTCTATGGAACTGTTTAAAAATATTATGTGCTAAAATGTCCAAATGGGTACATATATTTAACTCCTATTGATGGGCATTTAAGTAGCAGACTTATTCTCACTTTGGCTTTATATGTTGTCCCTACAATCAGGAGTTTTTCTGGTCCATTTTCTCCAGGTTATAAAACTCCATCTTATGTTGGGATTAGTGAGGGGAATCTGAGCATCTAACTACTCCTTATACATATTTTCAAGAACTTTCAGGCTTACCCTTATGCTTGCCTTCTGAGGTACTTGGTGACCCCAATTTCTGACTCTTTTGGGATTTGCTTTTAGTTCCTCCTTTCTCTCAGACAATTCCCGTATGTCCTCCTCTTCCATCATCTGAAATACTGTGGACGTCCTTCATCTGCTATCATCATCTCTCCCAGAGTTTACACCTTCCTGGTCCTTGATGTCATTTTTTGAGGGGGGAGAGGGGACTGGGGTTGAGAGTATATTAAATCTGTGGTGTTTAACTGGAAATCTTTCAATAAAAAAAACATTTTATGTATTTTTTATTACAAGCTCTTTCTTATTCCTAACTTCGTGTGTTTGTACATGCTCTTTTTTTTATTCCCCCATCACCAGTCTTACCTGAGTTTTGACTACTGGTCTTTATGATGCACTCCCTTTGGGGAAAGTTTTTTTTTTTTTTTTTTAATGGATTTGAATATACTTTCTAATTCTTAACATCATTTTTTTTTATCTTTACTAATTCCTAACTTTCTATAAATCTCTTTTTATTTTGTTAAAATCTTTTTTAATCTTCTTATATTAAAATTCTAGGGTGTTCCCCTGCCCCCCACCGCCCGCAGCTGCCTCTTTTTCTTTCTTTTAAAGCATAAAAACATGTAAAACTCAAATTTTTTGGAGTAGATAAATTTTTATATCTGGTATTAAACATTTCTATTTTGATATCCTCTTTGTCCCAAGAATTATTTGGGTGAGTGTTCTATGTTACCAAGTAGATTTTCTTTTGAAGATTCTAGTCATATGTTTTATTTTGTAGTTTTACTACATTATCACATGGTAGTCAGATAGTATGACTTGTACAATTTCTCCTATTTTGAAATTTGTTGTGTTTTTCTTTATGGTCTGGGTATAATAAATTTTATAAATATTCCACAGTTAATTTGGTATTACTTAGTGATAAGTAGTGGCTTGCCTCATTTCTGTTATCTTTTGTTTAAAAAAAAAAAAAGCAAGCAAGATTACGAATATTTAGAAATCTCCCTTTCTCCGTTGGTTTCATGCTTAGAGTAGCCTTGAGGCGAAGTCTTTATTACCTGGGTAGAAATGGAGCCAAGACTGAGATGAAATTCCATCCTGAAAGGTTCTCTTTACTGGGTCACTCCTGAAATTACAGACGCTGAGAATGCAACACAATATCCCACTAGCCTCTGGTAGAAATTCTTGTTTGATCTTGGGCCATATATCACCATCTGGTAAATTTGGATGTTTCAAGAGTTTTAGCCCCAAACATTTTTGCCACTTATCTAAGTAACTGAGATCTGGTCACCCTGCTGGGACCTGGCTGTTATCTCACTGACATTTTAAACCCATTCACTTTTTCCTTAAAAGGAAAATGAATAGCGTAATAGAGAGAGATAAGTTCTCCCCTCCATTTGCTTTTTGAGTTGTAGTAAGTAGGACTGCAGATTCCTTTATCCAGTCGGTCAATAAAAATATGTCGAATGTTTATATTGAACAAATAATGACATATGGGCAAATGACATAATCCCTGTCTTTGAGAAACTCATTCATAATACCAAGTTGGGAAGACAGAGCTGGAATAGACTATAATGACAGATTAACATGGTCGATATGGGAACGTACAAGTGTTAGGGGAACACAGAGGAAGATACATTTACTTTTCTTCAAAAATGGAGGAATGGGGAAGACCTCAGGGAGAATGTGATGTTTAAGTTGGATCTTGGAATAGGAATAGATGCTAGCTGGACAGAGAGGGAGGGATAGGCATTCAAGTTGAAGTGACCATCCTGACTATGGTGTGAAGTATGACAGGGGATGGCAGGTATGGAAAAGAGTAGTGGGTCTTCTGCCCAGAGACTACTGGGTGTGGTTCTGGTTTGGGAACAGGGAAGCTGGAAGAGTTAGCCTGGATTCAGACTGTTAAGACCACTGATTGACAGGTAGAGGAATTTGCACTTTACCCAGTGGCAGTGAGTACTCATTGAAAGTTTTTAAAGATGGGGTCAGATCCTTTTTAATTTAGTATTCAAATTTTGGTTCTCTATTATAAATGTTTACTACCCAAAATATGATTTGTCTAGAGTAGATGACTGAATTTTTCTTTTCTTGAAATATGTATCTTAGACATCTGTGCCACTTGCCATGAACATGCCACCTGCAAGCAAAGAGAAGGGAAGAAGATGTGTATTTGCAAATATGGATTTGTGGGCAATGGGAGAACTCACTGTACTGGTAAGTCCTGGATTAAGTTGAAAAGTTGAACCAAGAAGGAAGATTCTCTGATGTCAAAGAATTGATGTCCTTGGGAGGAAAACATTGTTATTTTGTTCACATGTTTTTATTACAAGAAGTTTTGTCAGTTATAATAAGTCTTTGTTTTAGTGGTTGGATATATTCTTTCTCTAGCGTTTCCAGAGAAATATCCCTCCTGTTAGAGGTCATTGAACTTGAATCTCTGGAAATTCTCTGGCCTAACATAAATTTGAAATCTGTTTCAAGTCTTGAGTTAATCTTAACAACTCGAATATTACATTTCTTAATTTCTCTGATTGTTTTGATATAAAACTACTTATGTTAATACCATGAGAAAAAGCAAAACACAGTTAATTGTCTATTAGACTTTTTGGCTAATTAATGAAATACTGTTTCTTTGAGTTTCATGTCTACGAAATCCGTCCTCCAATTTTTTTTGTATTTGTGACCTCTGAGAGTCTTGGATGGCTTAAAAGAGTACAAAGATCTTTAGGCTAGGCTAGAAGCATCTGAGATTGATTATGCTTTGTCTCATAGCATCCATAATGCCATGAGAGTCAGACAATATCCAGGTTCAAGCCCAATTCAGAGAGAGGGAGAGTTGCACAGCAACTTTATAATAGTGGATGTTACTTTATATAAGCACAGTTTCCTCCCAGCAACCTTGCTGCATGCAGTAAAATATCAATAGTTTTGCCTTGAGGTTGTGGATTGACGATGTAGACAACTTTGTTGTGATTATCCTTTTTTCTCTCTAAAAGAACAACAACAACAACTACTACTACTACTACTACTACTACTCCCCCTCCTCCTCCTCCTCAGTTTTGAGTTCAAAAAGTTATATTCTATTTCACAAGTACAAGCTTTCACAATCACACACCATTGTCGATTCCTGCAGGCTGGAGTCGTGCCTTCTTTGACAGCCTCTCTCTTTGATTCTGCCCACTGAAAATTGTGGCTGCCCTGCAATCTGAGTTTCCTGAGGGCATTTCTCCCACCCCCTCCATCCCCACCACTTGCTAGCAGGGGCTTGGAAACCAAGTTGGAGTTGATGAGTGCGGATAATCTATTTCCGCTCCCTCCCCTGCTAAGGTCTTCCTCCCTGGATGCCCCCACCCTCTGGATTGCTCCTTGACTTCTGAACACTAGAAACTTTTCCATGGAAGGAGGGGACTTTATTAATTTAGGTGGCACTTGCTCTCAAACACTAGACACTGCATATCCCAGTATCTGGCCTCCTAAAACCGTGAGGTTATGCATGTGCCAGAGAGACTGTAACGTATTATGCTAGGAGACCTAAGAATTCCAGAATCTCCTGCAAACCCAAATATCCCTTCTGGTGAAGTCTACATGGGAGAAATGCCTCAGAAACAATGGCAGGAAAGGCAAAGGACAGGAATATCTTGTTTTATGGGCAGCTGGGCTTGTGTCTGAAACCCCAGTGCTGGGTAAGCTGGCCTGGACACTTGGCTTGGCTATGGCTTGAGGGCCTGTTCTGTCTAAGTGCTCATGCAGATCTTACCACAGACAGTTTTAACGATGAATCATGCTCCAGGTTCAATTAAATTTTAACAAGGGTAATACAAGAAAAATGAAAACTAAAACAAAACAACACCAGAGGTTTGTTTTTTTGGGGGGGGGCGGGGGGGTTGGTACTTTTGAGTTAGCAGGAAATGAATGCAATTGTGAGAGGCCATGGAACTGCTTTGAGGAAACCACTGATGTAATAAAACACTAACTAACAAACAAACAGTAAAACTCCATTTCACAAGTTGATTAGCCTCTCTCCCCTTCCTCCCCAACTCCTCCCACTCAAAAAAACAAACCACTAGCTCAATAGATGAGCTCTAAAAGGATGCATATGAAATTGGTCACAGGAGTTTCTTCTGATGGTAGAAGCTAGACAGTGTCAGAAAACTCTGGCCTGAGGACCAAATTTGGCTGCTGCCTGGTTTTGTAGAGTTTTATTAGAACACAGCCTTGTTCATTTTTTTACCGATTGTCTATGGCTGCTTTAGGCTCCAAAAGCGTGGCTGAGCAGTTGTAACCAGAGACCCGTGACTGGCCCTTTACATTTACGGCAAAAGTTTGCTGACCTCTGGGCTAGAGGACAGAGACAGTAGGGAGCTTTACTTTCATTTTGCATCTATGTCAAATTATGGAATTAAAAAGACTCAGGGCAGGCTTCTGTCGACTCATCAAGACTCCCATACTCACTCCGGCTCCGCCTCGCTGGTGACTAATGTTATTCACATGGGTCATTGACGATTAGCAGGAGCTGTTCCTGCCACAGTATTAGCCCTGTTCCCAGATGAGGCTTAAGCACTAATTCTATTGCGTTTCCTGGTAACTCAGAAATAACAAATTTTCCAGTTAATCACTGGATGTAAAATCATCTTACTCTGGCTTTCATGAAAAAGCAAGAATGGCTGAGCTGGAGAAGTGGGATTCTGCTTTGTTTCCCCAAGCATGTGACGTGATCTTTTCTAGTGTGGAAAAGTGCAAAAAAGAATCCCCTTCTCCCAAGAGGGATTGCCGGATCAAGACGTTGAATTTCTTTTGTGGTTTTGTACATGCCCAGTGCATGACTGCAAGGGGCCCATGTCCTGCCCTGTAGTCTGAGAAGCACAGTGACAGGAAAAGAGGCTGGGGAAATATGTCATCGAGCCATTGTCACAGAATATCGATTCCCAAGTCCATAGCACAGGAGAACGGTCTGCAGTGTGAAACATGGTATAGACTGATAGCTCTTCCTATGTGTTGTCTGAATATACCAACAGATAAAAACGAGTGCCAGTTTGGGGCCACCGTGGTCTGTGGGAGCCACACATCTTGTCACAACACACTCGGAGGCTTTTATTGCGTTTGCCTGGAAGGATATCGAGCCACTAACAACAACAAGATGTTCATTCCCAACGATGGCACCTTTTGCACAGGTACTCAAGAAAGGGGCCACGGTGATGGCAGCTCGGTGATGGCCGTGCAGGATCTGGGCTGTGGGGGAGGAAGGGCACAGGGCTGTGGTGTAAGGGAGAGACTCTCCTGTAAGAATATCTGTATGAGAGATTCAGACATGGACTGGGTATTAGTTAATATTAAGGAATTATTGTTAATTTGTTAGATGAGATAGCAGTATTGTGGTATTTAAAATACCATCCTTTTTTTCAATAATATTTTTTATTTTTCAGTTATAGTCGGCATACAATATTACATTAGTTTCAGTTGTATAACAGTGATTAGACACCCAAATAACTCACGAAGTGATCAACCCAATAAATCTAGTACCCATCTGCCACTATACATAGTTAATGAAATATTACAGACTACATTCTTTACACTATACGTTACATAGGACACTATTCTTATTTTGGGAGATGCATGCTTAGGTACCTAGGGGTGTTATTATTGAAGTATCTAGTGTTATTACATCAGTAAGTTACTTTAAATGGTAAAATGTAAACAATTGTTGAATCTTGGGTGGGTCCATGAGAGTTCACTGTAATATTCTTTTTCTTGTTCTGTGTATTTGAGCATTTTTATAACAAACTACAAGAGATGGTATGCCATCTGCAGGTTCCTGTAACCCCAAGGTAGGGTGTTCTTAGAGTGACTCTGATACTCACCAGTTCTGTGGACACTACCTACTAAGGGCGAGGGAGTGGGCACCGTGATGTTGGCTCCTGGGAGATCAGAATGCGGCGCTGTTAGGGATGTGGGCTCACTTCCCACAGGAATACGCTGAGTGAGGAGTGCAACTTTTTAGACCTCACTACCTTTGATGGTCAGATTTCTGGGTATATGTTGGTTGAATGCAAGGGGTGGGCAAAACCTTCCTAATTTCTAGTGGCCCCTGTATTATCTGAACTCGACTTACAAAGTGCCATGATAATAGAGCTCTTTGGTTTTCTAAGAACGTCTTTGAACAGTAATGAAGAGCAAAGGCAGGAAAAGACTGCTGATTCTAAGATGGTTTTGCATAGACTTCATGACTCTGCTTAAAAGCTGCACTGTTTAAAGATTTTCAGGGAAAATAGAGAGGAGAACATGGTTTATCTTCGTACCCTCCAAGAACCACAGCTTCTGATGCTCTGATTCACTCTCGCTCTTGATCTGTACCAGGTAAAGATCCCTCAAAGGGTACATTTGATTTATTCTTGGCATGGATGAGCACAGTGCCTCAGAGAAGACATTTTAAAATATCCCGTTGTTTTAGGTAGCAACTTACTTGCTACATGATTGCAGAAGTGCAGTGTTGCAGAGTGAAATGAGATGTTTAAAAAAAAAAAAGATACCTATTAAAAAAGATGATGATCTGGTGTTCAGTTCATTCAATATATATTTCTCATGCGCTTCTACATGCCAAGGCTGTGCTAGTGGGAGGTGATGCAGATAGCTAATTTCAGAATAAAGTGTTAGTGATAGGTAAGCAAAGGGCACTTACTACAATCCAGAATCCACAGGGACACTGATCTTGCATGTGGGAAAGGAGATGGGGAGCCTTGTGGAGGACATGATACCTGAAATTGTGTTTTCATGGCTGTGGGAGTTTGCCAGGAAAAACTTTTATAACTATCACTATGGTCTCCAAGGATGCATTCTACTTTTTTAAAATGTAGGGAGAAGAAGAAGAAGAAAGAAAGACTTTATGAAAGAGTTAAGTAGATGTTAGCCTAATAAGAACCAATCTTCCCGGAACAAAAGCCTGATCTAGACTCTGCTTCTGTTTCTCTTCTTATAATTATTTAGTGACCTTTCCTTTTCAAAAGAAATTGAGATATAATTCACATATCATAAAATTTACTCTTTGGAAGCATTCAGCTCAGCGGTTTTAGTATATTCTATTTACAAAGTTGTGCAACAGTCACCACTATCTAATTTTATACCATCTCTATCCCCCATCCAACAAAAGAAGCCCCATATTCTGCGGCAGTCATTCTTGTGACTTTTCCTTTGTAAAAGCTGGTGGGCGACTTTTCTTGACAATACTGAGTTTCTTTCAGAATCATAATTGCCATAGAAACATCAGTGGACTTTAGCTGGGACAGAGGCTTAGCAAGTTTTGGAGTCTCAGCAGTTAGCCAGTGTTTGCCTGGAACCACAGGATGTGAATCATAGTTCTTGAATCACAAGGAATCCTGCGACCAGAGGTTTCTCATAGTTTGCAGGGTTCAAACCAAGTTCAGGGGCTGGTTGGGGCTTTTGGGATGTCACCAAGGGGAGATGAAGAATGAATACAGGGGTTCTAGTGTAGGGGTTCTAGTTCTGGAGAACCTGCAGATGTTCTGGCCCCCAAGGCTGCCCCCAAAGGACTCCTGGGGATCACGGAAATGTTGCCATGAGCCACAATCCAGAGGAAGAATCTCTGTGGCACTTCCAGTGTGAAATGGGTTTGACTTGGGTGGGCTGAGAGTAAGTGAAGGGAAATTAGACTGCAATGGGAATAAGGCCTGGGGCCGTCATCTCCCTAACAACATGACTCCAAATAGTCATGGTCCTAGCAATATCTGCCCAAAACGGCAAAGTTCCTTTTTTATGACTTTGCATTCCCCAAGTCTTGGGAATCCATCTTGACACTGAGGGCAGCAGCAACCTTTTTTTTCCTAAGATCATTTCCTGCAGTTATCAGAGGCTGGGGACATTTCTTCCAGAGAAATGTAACAGCACTTCAGCTTTGACTGAGAAATGGGGGAAAGGGAGGGGGGAAAAAAAAAAAGATCCTGGCGGGAATGAGTGCTTTGCAATCATCAATTCCTGGAACCTCCTGCCTCCAAGGTCTCTACTCCATAGGTCTGCCTGTGGTAAAGTAAGCACCTTCATTCCTGCACCTAAATCCCTACTGTTCCCAGCACCAGTGTGGTCTGTTGGTTTTTCTCCTAAGTCAGGAGCCTTGTTCTCCAAGTGAGCTGTTGCCCACAAGCTTCTCAGCGGCACTGCTGTGGCAAATCCTGGAGCAGCTTGCCGTGACCTCAGGCACAAATGCACAGCCCCGCTGAGATCCTGCTTGCTCTGTGTGGGGTATTGCTCAGGAGGATTGCAGCTGTCCTGAGGTGTCTCCCAGGACACTCTCCAAATAGGACTTTGCTCCCCAAATCCCAATTCTTTGTTTTGGCTGGATTTATACCTAAAGAGTCATGTTTTACCACTCTGAAAGAAGGGAGAAGCAAGGAAAGATAAACTCAAGGAAAAGCCCCACCCCCTGGCCTAGGGGTATTGCTCCCTACTGCACAGAGCAGCCTTGTAACCATTGGGTTGCCTACTTTCCCTATGGAGTCCCCCTGATTCTTACTTAGGTCTCCACCTGTGGTAGGTGATGACTTCAGGCCTCTGCTACCACGCCAGCTCCTAGGAAGGAGAGAGAGGCCAAAGATTCTGAATCAAAAGATGGTTAAACCCGACTTCCACCCCCCAAATGGTCCTTGACGAAGGCACCATTGCCTCGCTTTGGGAGTGAGGGGGCATGCCTGAGTTCCCCCTGCTGGTTGACATCGCCCACACTTTCCTCTTGCCTCTTACTTGCTCAAGCCCCAGGATATGGATATCCAGGTCGTTTCTCAAGGCCCTGTTGGGAAGAACAAAATATGTACAAAGAGTTCTTTTTTACTCCACTAATTTAAAGTTTTGGGAGGAGTGATAGGGATAGGAGCTGGGCTTAAGTTTATCTTTGAACTATCTATAAATGAACTGTCTATAAAGTAGGTTTTCCTAAGCAAACTATCAGTATTTACAAGATCGTGAAGAAAATGTTTAGTTCTTTGAGTTCAGGCTCTTTGCTCATCTCTGAGAGTGACCTCGAAAATGGTTCTCAGTTTATTCAGCTACTGCTTTAACAAAAGTTATCTGTCAAAAAGGATGAACGGTTACCTTAGGATGGCGCTGTGGAATAGAGTAGGGACAAGTGGGTCATTTAGTTTTAATGTGTGTAATGATCCATGATGGTTCTTCCCACAAGGACACAGAAGAATAAGCCAAAATTTTTTCCTCCATGGGAAGGAATATAGCTTTGTTTTTTTCCACATATTAAAGAAACACAATGTCACGTGGAAAGGTTAAGCAATTATAGAAAAGTATAAAGGAGAAAGAAAAAAAAATCACCTAACATGAACCCGGGAGCAACAGTAATTTGTATTTTGGTAAATCTCAAGATGCCTCTATGCATATGTACTATAACTATAATTTTAGGTTAATAACATGTATTTCACTTCTGTAACACATGATGTTATTTTCTCCATTTCAAACTCCATGAAATAAGGGAAGACAAAATTTACTTCACTCCCAACACATGATCTTTCATTTCAATAAAAATGATCCAAGAGAAATGAGAATATATGTCTATGAAAGACTCGTACATGAATATTGAAAATAGCCCAAACTGGGAACAGCCTAAAAGTCCATCAACAGAAGGATGGATAAACAAATTGTGATGCATTCCTAGAGTGGAATATTACTCAGCAATAAAGACGAATTATCTATTGATACACACAACATTGAGGAATCTCAAAACCATTGTGCTGCGCAAAAGATGCCATACACAGAAACCTATATTATTAAAGATTCTATCTATATAAAGTACAGGCAAAACTAGTTCATAGTGATAGAAGTAAAAACATGGTTGCTTCTTGGTGAGTGGGGATGGACTAGAGGCCTGAGGAAGCTTTCTGGGTGATAGGAATATTCTATTTCTTGTTTTGGATGATGGCTACGTGGTTGTAGGAGATTTTCAAAACTCATGACCTGAACACTTAAGATCAGTACGTTTTATTGTATGTAAATTATAATACACTTAAAAAGTATTAGAGATAGATATCCAACACCTTTTAAATTAACTACAGAAAATTCATTATATGACTGTACTATGTTACTTAACTGGTTCTCCCCACCCATTGTGATTGTTTTTGTTTTTTTTCTATTATAAGAAACGCTATAATGAACATTCTTGTACTTACATCCTTACAAATAATTTTCCCCTTGTTATAAATTCTGGCAATGGTTTCTGTGTCAAAGATAAACATTTTACATTTTGATACATAGTGCCAGTGTCTTCAAGAAAGTTCATACCAATATTCTCTCTGACTGCTCATTTCATGAAGGTGTACATTTCTTTACTTCCTTGCGAACACTGGATAATATTAATAAATGATGCGAATTTAACAGTCTCGATTTTAAATTGGTATGTGTTTTCGTTTAAAGTGGCTTCCTAAGATGTAGGCTTCCTAGTTGAATTTGGCATTTAAGGAGGAAAGATGATAGAAAAAAATACTTTCTAAGTTGTAAGAAAGTAATTTTTATCTCATCATACTTCACAGAGTTGGGAGGAACGAGATCTTAGGTGGCGATTTAGACAAAACTAGGCTTCGAGAGCATCTTCATGAACTTTGAAGTTCTCGAATGCCTTTTTCTCACTGGGTCCCTTCTAAAAGTCTTCAGATTTTAAAGACTTCCCGAGACAAGAGCTTGCGTTGAATGTGTTTAATCACTGACTAGCTGCTGTTTAAACTTTTGCCCCTTTGGCACTCCTGTTCCAGCTAAGGGTCCTCCAGATGGATTTTCTGCTTCTGTCTTGGAGCATGCAAAGCCAGTGGAACAAGCCGTGTGGCCACTCCCCAGGCCCCAGCCAAGAAACCCGGAGAACATTGCTCATGGTCACGCTTGGGCTCAGGTGTAGGTCATGAAGGAGGAGTTGTGCTCCAGGGATATCTGAGTCAGTAGAGAGGCAAGACTCATTCACATACTAGCTGACACGTCTTGAGGACTTGTCGCCTGCCCGGCACTGTGCTAAGTACTATCCACCGATTTTATTTAATCCCTCCAAAAAACCTACTATGATTAATTTCATAGTGGTTTAGAAAGGTCAAGGAACAGACATTAGTACATCTAGTAAGTAGCAGAATCAGCTCTTTTACCTAGGTGTTTTTTGACTTTGAAACCCATGCTATTAGTTGAAAGGGCTGCATATAGAGTGCCAGGGCCCTGGGCCCAGGTCAGTGTCCTGCTCAGTTTTGCTACTTTCCAGCAAGAAATTGTTTTGGCTGTGCATAAAGTTAAATAATCCCATATATAGAATCCCATGTATAGAGTTCCATATTATAGAATAGAGTAGAAAGGAATTTTCCCCCTCGATTAGTTAAATATGTTAATAAGATTGCCTGGAACTTTTTTTTTTTTTTTGCAAGCAAACACATTAAACCTTGGAGGACCCATGGAATTTACCACTACATGGAGAAATTGTTCTGAGGAGCTTAACATGTGTATTCAAACAAGACTCTTAGAAGGGATTAGAAAAAGGGATGGTGTGTGAGCATTAAGAGGGAAGAGGGGGCGAAAAGTCAAAATCATGTCATAATAATCTCAGTGATACAAGGCAGATATATCTAGACTTCATTAAGGCGACTGATGATATCGTGGACAATCCCCGTGGATGGGGAATTATTGATTGGACGCTGGCACAGTGAGATTGTAATGTGAGAGACGGTGTGGCAGAGGGACGAAGATTGCGGTCTCCGGAGCCAGATGTCTGGCTTCCAGTCCTGGCTTCCCACTATTTACTTAGCCACTATGCTTCAGTTACTCCATCTGTAAAACAAGGACGATAATAACATCTGCCTCACCTGGGCCCAGGTCAGTTGGGGTTATTGTGAGGATTAAATAAGATAGAAATAATTCGTAGTAAATAATGAAGTATTTACAACAGTGCTTGGCATGTGCCAGACGATGTGCAGGAACTGTTAATAGCTGTCATTATAACAATTACTGTTATTAGTTTGTTGAATGACGACACAAAGCAAACTGATCGATCACTGTAGTGACTCATACAGAGCTGATCGGTGTCTAGAAAGTCCAAGTCTTTTCCAGATCCCTGCTGCTAGGCCATGTTTTTGCCCTATAGTTATTTGTACTGATTATTTTTAGAACTCTGCTGAAAAAACCATTGATTCCCACTTAACTGTCTTTTGAGGAGTTTGGAATAGGTGGACAGGCTGAAAAATGATTTCTATGTCAAAGCTATCCATACACATTTTACAAATTCCTCAGTGGAATAAAAAAATCACGATAAGCTAAAATGATGGATCCAATCTAGAACACATGTTTTATTCTGCAGTGGTGAAATCATCTCTAAAGTACTACCTTGAGATTGAATTTATTTTGCGTTATTGCTAATCCTTTCTTAACAATTGCCGAAAGCACCATGATTTTATTATCAACAATTGTTTAACCCTAAGTTTTACTAGTTTCATTTCTCAGCACTCTTTGTTGTGTTTTATTTTGTCTTTCCCTTCGTTGACATTATTTATTCTGACGTTTTTCACTGGCTTCCGTATATTCTCAAAATCTTTTTCAGAAAAGAAATGTCAGTGGTATAATTCCTGAGATCATTCATGTTCTAAAAGGTCATTCCTTTGTTTAAATATAGCACGATGTTTTGTCCTCTTTTCCTTCAAACTCTATAAATATTACTCCACTGCTCTCTAGTATTTAGTGTTTCAGACAAGAAGTCCTAGGTAGATGGGTTCTCTTTTCCTCGCAGGTTTCCATCCCTTTCTTTCAGGAAGTTTATCAATTTTTTCCTTACGCATGAAATTCAGAATGACTTTTCATGTTTCAACATTCAGACCGTCAGTTGTAAAGGCTATGCAGGTTTGAACATATCAGCTGAGGGATTTTTTTTCTTTTGGTATGAATTCTTACACATTTACTCCATTCTCTTCTGTAATTCCTCTTAAATGAATACTGATGGTTGCCATGGGGGATGGGAATGGAGGATGGGTGAAAAGCAAAAAGATACAGAATAGTATAAAAAGTATAACCTAAAAAAAATTAAGTGAATATTCAATATTTTGGATTGGTCCTCATCTCATTTTTTGTCCTGTAGTCTATATCTCACATAATTCCTATTTCTATGTGTTTTTGGAGAATTTCTCAAGTTGGAATTTGCAAATTTATTTTTCAGCATTGACTGACCTATTATTCGATGCCTTTATTGAGTTTTTATTTTTGACATTCATATTTTGTTTTTAATTTCCAAGACCATATCATTTCTCAGAAACTCCCCTCTTATTTTTATTGATGCAGTATCCTCTTAATCTCATTTGGACTTCTGCATCTCTTTCTAAATCAAGAGTGTCTTGATTATCTATCACTATGTAACTCCCCCCCTGCTCCATTTAGTGACTTAAAACAACAGTTTATTATTTCCCACAATTCCATGGCTAGGTGGTTTTGTCCCTGTGTGGATACATTCAGCTGGTGACTGAGCTGAACTGGTAGGTAGAAGAAGGCCTCTCTCACATTCTAGGGCCTTGATGCTGATCAGAGCACCTTAGTTCTCCATGTGACCTTTCTTGTCACGTGATGTCTCATCTTTTAGGGCCCTTGTGAGTGGTCTCTCTCTCCCAAGTACACAATATCCTAGATTTCCTTACAGCATGGCCACTGGATTCCAAGAGAGGGAAAG